TCCAATTTGATTTGTCTGTGGTGTCCACGTGAATGTCATATAGTAGACCGATGAATTTGTTGATGATTGTATGAGATTATCATGAGTCATACCAGTAATTCCATTTGAAACAACGATATCAATTAGTGTAGCCACACTCTGATTACATAAATTCATTGCAGATAGATTAAAGCTAATTGAGATACCAACTTGTACTTCTAGACAACGATCTAGAAGTATAATTATAGGTTCTTTTGAACAAGCTGGTTGTGATTGAACATAAATCAAAAATTGAACTGGTACTGAACTCATTGGTGTGGTACTTGTTCCATCGATAAAATCTTCAACCTATAGAAAAAGACATGATCATTCTATACTACACATAAATATTAGATTATGTCATGAAAAATCTGCTAACATTGCTTTAATATTCATAACATCGACTTTTTCAAGAGATAAGTGGCTGATATAAAAGTTATATATCATGTCTTTCGACAAAAACTGATGTATCTGATATGATCGATTGTACATGGTTTTGTGGAACTTTCATATATTTTCGAAGAAAATAGTGAGTGTAAGTTGTAATTCGAAGTTTTGCGGCTCTACCACACGCCTCCCTTCCTATTACAGACATTAGGAGCCACCTTTCCCTCGTTATAGACTTTGTCTTCCAAATGCTACAATTGTAATTTGATCAACATAAAAAATGTGAATTGATCAAGTTATAACTTCGAAAAATAATCAATATCAATGTTTCTGAACTGATCAAGATATATAATCGTGCATTAAGATCTGTTGCTGCTGTAGATATAACGGATATTCACAACAACTTTGTTTTCCATTTAATTCAATGCTTATAATGATAAGAATGTTAAACAAAGAAAAAGAAAATACGAAAATCAAAAATACCGAGCGAATGACAATGCTGCAAACAAAAAATAGAGTATCCGTAAAAAAAAGAACAAAAATTCTGTTCGGAATGCAAAAATAAATAAGGCGAATGGTTACTTAGCTCATGGTTTATCTTCGAACACAAGTATAATCTATGAGAAATTTATAACTTCGCCTATTTGGTATTAGTTTAACAAGGCTAAAGAACATATGTGAGTTTCACATTTCAACCTCAAAGGAACTGTGCTAAGAAACATTTTTGATGAATAAAGCGGCTCAGCAAAAGTGGAATATTGCTATTATATGGCAAAATATCGAAATATACTAATACTAACCGAGATTATTCAATAAATATAAATAATGTTACCATCGTGGTCGAAGAATTAATTACAAATGGATGTCTGCTTACCTGAATAGCAACTGCATACCAGACACCAGCTTGATTACCTGTGAATGTGATGGTGCAGTTAGATAGAGTTGTACTAGCAGGTACAGTATATGGGTAACAAATACTACCACATTCATCGATCGCTTGACGATTGGGATAGGACAAAGTCGATTTTGGTGTTCCTGGAGTTTCGGTAGTAGTTGTATTGATTGTGGCTGCTGTAGTTATCGCAACGGTTGTGTTTGTCGCAACGGTTGTGTTTGTCGCAACGGT